AAGCGTTCTGATCCGAACACGGAGCTTTCTGTTCGCAACCCTAACCCCCCTCTGAGCTGCTGCTTCTGGCTAAGAGCTGGACCCCAGAGCTTTGTGCTCCTTATGAAAACAGGAACGTTTCCATTATCAGCTCTGGTTCTGATTCTGCGAGAACAACCTCGGCGCTGAATGGTCCGGTAAAAACGGTCATCCGGGTTCACTGAGGTTCATTTCACTTGGCGGCCAGTGTAGTGTATCAGTAAGGAGCAAGACTCGTAACCGAAAGGTTGCGGGTTCGATTCCCCACTGGAGTGCTGCTGCTGTACTCTTGGGCAAGGTGCTTAACCCAAAATTGCCTCAATAAATATCCAGCTGTATTAATGGATAACATGTAAAAACTGTAACCTATGTAAATCGCTCTGGATAAAAGCCTCTGCTAAATGACAAAAAAAATACATGCTGAAAAAAATTACATTCACTTTACATTCGACTATCGCAATCTTAAGATGGCTTCAGCATCTCGATTCAAAACCTGAATCGCTCATCGCAGACCGCAATCTAGCTGCCCTCAGTACACAATGCGGGAAATTGAACAATCAGATCTGGTATTTTCTGAAACTGGGCAATTAACATGTAACGCAAAACCCAAGACTACGCATACAATCTTAAAACCCTCAAAAGAGATATTTCTTTACACCTAAACTCATCTCTCATAAACTTGGCATGGACATCTCTCACACTCCCTGTGGAGGCAGTTTAACAGCTGCCACCCCATCATGTTTCTGTCTCCTTCTGCTTAAACAAATTGTTTCTTTATTATGACGCAACAAAAACTGAAGAGCAGAGACAGCTTGAAAGGACTAACACACGACCCAAGCCAGAGCCCTTGGGGGTAATTTGTGACTTTTGTTTTTTGGCTAATCTGGCCCCTGTGTCACTGAACACCTGGAGGTTAACTCAACAGAGGCGGAAAGCCTTTTGTTTTCTCCTCCATTATACACCATCAAAGGGCTCGGTCGGTATCTTTATGCCCCAAACTGGCCTCCTGTCATTTTTCATTTTGATGGGCTGAGTTTAAAAAAAAAAAAAAACCTGCATAAAGCAGCACACTTCGCTCTAAGTGAAAATGTATACTGACCCCCTCCTGTGACCTGCTCCTCCAAGGTTAGACCGTTTATTCACGGTCATCTGGAATAACCGTTGTGCAAGCCCCGGAGGAAACCACCCCCACCGAAACACAGCTCCAAACTCGAGTCCCATACGTCAGGTTCTACAGGACAGTATCACATTATGATATTATTTTATTATACCGTTATTTATGAGACATGGTCTGCTGATAGAGAGGACAGGGAAAAAAAGAGATCCTCAGATTCCTGGCTAATGACTTTCTTGTGCAAAACTGTCTTACAGAGAGAGGGAGAGAGGTGAAGAGTTACAGAGAAAACAATGGAAGAAGGGGAAAGGAGGAAAGGAGCCCCGATCAGGGATCGTCTTTAAAGCGGGGGTCTCAGGTTTTAAAGCAAATGAATGGAATAGCTGGGGCAGAGAGTAAAATAAATAATGGTTGGGTGAAGGGATCTTAAACTTTGGCAGGGACTATCTGCCAAGTTCAAACAGAAAAGGGACACGGGGTACTTGGTGTACTGCTAGAGCTAACAGTACGCCAAAGTGTTCACTTGGGATCCATTCCCTCTCACTCCTGCGCAGTAAATACACTGACTTAATCAGAGATGACAAATTATTGACGGCTTGACGGTATTGACAGCTTCGAGCAATGGAGTATCAGGGTCAAGCAAGTCCCCTTGCTGTCGAACCATTGTGCAAGGTGTTTTTTTATCTTCAATCTTTTGAATATCAAAAAATACTTGGATAAAGGATTTATAGATGTGACCTGCAACTGTAACAATCACCCACTGTGTCTCCACACATCAGTTGAAGCAGTTGAAGCAAACTCCCAGGGCATTATGGAGGAACACATGTTAGTGATGTCATGAGACAGCAGCCCACTTTGAATGAAAAGTTTGAGCTTCACCGGGGATCACAGGACAAATAAAAACTAAAGAGAAATAATTTTTTGTTTTGCCAAAGTAGCTTGCTGAACAAATAAACAATAAATAACACACACTGACTGCAGGGGCCAAGCAGGGGAACTTGAGAGACATAAATACTCAGCTCGTGAGATTTGGTCAGTTTGGACCTGTCTGAAGATTTGTAGAAGTGCAAGACAGCAGGCCAACATATCAGTTTACCCTATTGCATTACACATATTATTGCATTATGATTGTGAAATATGGAAGTGCTGTACTGTACTGTTTATGAAAGTTATGGCCTGTTACATCTTATATCTTGTAAATATGAGCCAATGCATCCACATCCTCATTCTAATGTCTTTTAAGACTAATGCCTTTTTTAGCTCACAGCTAATCACTACTGTCCCCTGTACATCTTGCACCATTATGCAAATACACTAGCCATCATGAAGATCAACAGCATGGTTTGCTTGGTGACTTATGGTGACCCTGAGCACATCATTCCAAAAGACTTATATCACACCAAAAAATGGCGATTTTAGACTACATTATATTACTGGCATTTAGCAGACACTCTTATCCAGAGCGACTTACATCAATTACAAGTTTTTACAATGTTATCCATTTATACAGCTGGATATTTACTGAGGCAATTGTGGGTTAAGTACCTTGCCCAAGGGTACAGCAGCAGTGCCCCAGTGGAGAATCGAACCAGCAACCTTTCGGTTACAAGCCCTATTCCTCACTGGCAACCTTCCGGTGTTACAGGTTACTTACTGTTTTTCATCCTCACAGGAGAACAGACAGCGGAAGCCTCTCAGACACTCCTCCCACTAGAGTTCTCAGTAGAGCCTTAAATTTCGGCGCCCTCAATCACTTACCCATATACCCATCCCAGGTAACTCATATATCTAAATTCATTAGTAAGGAGGCTGAACCCTCCCCTCAGATAACCTTTGGAATGGGGCATTCTGGGTACAGCAGGGTGAATAACTCTGGGCAGGACTCAGCACAGGTGGGCGGGGCTACTCTCCCTATCTGATGGGAGCTGAACTTTCCCAGGTGGCCTACTGCTGCTGGATCCCTGAGCAAAAGGGACATAGTCCGAAATGTACCAGTAAATATGCAGCTGTATGCTAGCTGTGTAAATCAAAACTACATTTGGAAATCCATGTCAGTAAATATAAATGAGAAGAGATGAGGGTGAAACAACAAAAAGCTCCAATTTATAATTGCATCTCTGGAAACAGCGGGAATTAAGCAACGATTCTGGGGAACCGTGAACCATGCAGTGTTTCCGTTGGCAGTGTCAGTCGAAATCAATTAGGGGCGCCTCACTCCGTGACCCCAGAACCGCGCTCTCGAAATAGCCCAGCCTGAGCAGCGCTTGCCCAATTACCCAGAGAGACGCTGACCCTGATGGCTGTGCTTGCAGCGTGCCTGTAATAACACACCTGAGGCCTGGGCAGCTTGCCGGCCTGGCTGTTTGTGTTGGACACGGCACGGCACCCAATCACAGTCCAGCACGGCAGTGCCCAGGTGATTAAACCGGTTTAACTCACATACCTGTGATCATCAGACAACAGTCAGCTTGATTTGCAGGTAAGTTGCCAGACAGAGGCAGAAAACAGGTGCACTCTGAATGAGGTATCAATAACCAGGTGCACAATACCAATGCATTACCCAGGTGATGCTGGTCTGCATTTCAACTTTTGCTAAAAAAAAAAAAAAAAAACTATATCTACATTACTGCATGTAATGCACCAATGAAGATGTAGAAGAACTCTACCAGGTGGCCAAAACAGTGTTTTGCATTGCAGCCAGAGTATATCACAAAGGGAATTTCATCCACCAAAATGAGTTTTAGTTCAGACAGCGCAAGAGGGAAGTTACCAAGACTCAACATAACATTTATTTCACAACTCATATGATAAAGAGGTTCATTTAAAGACACTTTAATAGATAATAGATAAATGAAACTCACAAATTTCTGTAATATCTTTCACACTAAACAGCAACTTAGTTTGAGTAAGGGTAAGTTGAGTAAGTTAGAGTACTTGACCCGAGTCAAGATAATTGGGTAAAAACATCAAGCCATACAATGTGGGGTCACTGTAGGTCCACATAGAGGCCATGGCCTGGGTAAAGTGAGACTGTCCTAGATTAGCGTCAGACAGGTGCTGTCAATCATGAGGCCTATCCCCCCCTAACTCCTCCCACATATCACAAGCCCCTCCCTCTCCCCCTTTCATCCAATCCTCAGCACCCTGCTCACACTAAACAGCAACTTCTCTTTTGACCCATCTTCACTCCTCAATTCTTAATCCTACTAACTGTATATATAACTGGCAACCCTGAACAAGATATACTTTTAAGAAGTAGATTCAGGTACTCACCTCAAGACATGCACAAGTGAAAATCTGAGAGAAATCAGCTGATTTTTAGCAGATATGCTTTCTAATTCCACTTTCTTCCATATTTCACACTAACCTTTAAGTCTTAATTCCCTCTTCTTCACACTAATTAAAACAGACGCAAAGACATTGGGGTGGCACGCCTAAGCAATTAAGCATCAATTAAGACAAGACTGCTGACAGCTGAGAGTAATTACAGTGGAAACACGTGATCATTCAGATAGTATGTTCATAATGGGGGCATACTTTTACTCAGTCGGCGTTATTCAGACTGATCATTAATCATGTTAAACATATGCATGAGCGACCAACCTCATAGAAAGACAGACACCAAGGGAGTATCTTCCCTGAAGAATCAGCAACTAAATCTAGACTTCAATGATCCTAGAAATAACCAGTTTTGTACAGGGATAAATTCCTTAACATGGTATATATCACTACTTTACTGTCATTAAGCAGGTGCTCTTATGCAGAGCAGCCTACATACTTTTGGCAGCAATTTTATCCATTCATGCAGTTGGATATTCAGTGAGGTAACTAGAGGTTAGGTACCTTGCCCAAAGGTAGAACAGCAGTGCCCCAGCGGGGAATCAAACCAGCAACCTCTTGGGTACGAGCCCTGCCCCTTACCACTATGCCACACTGCTGTCCCTATGCAGAAGAAGGATGCCCCTTGGGTGCTTTCTCTGAACTGGGCTGTAGCCAATAGCAGCTTACTGCTGGTTAGAAAGTGAGCCTATCAGGACGTTCAGTGAGGGCTGGTGGTCCGTGCGGGCGTGGTGCTCACGGGTCCTGGGCGTCGGGTACCTGCAAGGTCGCGCCTCGGCCTGAGGAATTCTGGGACCGGAGCCTGGGCGCGTTCTCCCTCACTGCGTACTGCGTTCTGCGCATACCGGTCCTCTGAGAGCAGTTTCCAGCGAAAGCGCAGTGGGAGTAATAACAGCGATAAAGGGAAACTGGCGCTGCAAGCGCGTCAGGAATGTTTTTCTTCCCTCTCTTCTGGTGCTCGCCACAACACAGGCCTCCCCGCATCCAGCTGGAGCCCGCGCCGGAGAGGGACCCATTTCTGAGATTCCACCGCAAATTGCAGGGGGAGAGAAACCCTCCCTCTCAAAATATATGTTTCTCTTTACTTTCTCCCCCGGGGGACTCCGCAGGCACTGCTGGGAGAGAGCTGTTTCACAAGCCGCTGTGTGCCAAACACTGTTCTCCTCTCTCTTCTCTTCCAAAAGACACCGTTAAAGTATCATCTGTAAAACACTGCTGGTCAGCTTCAAGGGGAAAAAAAGAATTAACCCCAGGTATGCCAGAGAGTTCTTCTGACGTGATAAAATATGTCATTTTCATGTTGGCTCAATCAATGTTTTTACAAATACAAAACCCAAGAACACATCCAGTTTCAGAACTTTTGTATTTTGTTTGGAATATTATTGCTTATACTTTTACATATTTAATATATATTGTATGTGCATATAATATGCAACATCACAATGCCACAACTAATAATGGCATTCCCCCTGACATGTACAGCAAGCTTTTTCTCTAACCGCTTTGAACTTTGACTTGATTAGGTAGACCACAGTGTTCTTACTGTTCCACTTTGTGCAGTAGCGTGACACCATTGTTATACTTACAGCCATTAATGTATTGTGATTTTCCTTATCAATAAAAGGGTTTAAACTCTGTACGCAGTAAGGACTGCCCTGGTATTGTTTTGTCATTATCAGCTCAATGGCACTCCTCTCCTGCCTCCTCTTGGTTTTGATAGCGCCAAATGACAATAACCATAATTTGAAAAAGAAAGCTTTGCTTTCCAATTGTCTAGATAAGAGGGTCACCCGGGTTCAAGTATAGGTATGTACACAGGATCATTGCCAGGTGGTCCATACAGAACAGATCTTTACCACAGACATCTCTGGTATTTAACCTAGTGTGTGTTTACTGTGTGGGTGTGTGTGTGTGTGTGTGTGTGTGTGTGTGCCCATGTGTATATGCCTATATGTGTGTGTGTGTGTTTGTGTGTGAATATGCATGCGTGTGCCTGAATGATTTAATTGTTTGTTACAGATGGTAAATGAATACCTCAGCCCATAAAAGAAACGAGCCCTCTCTGCTCCTCAGATAAATGTGTGTGTCCACTCTTCATCTCTGGGATTTTTCTGTGTTCGCTGCCAAGAGAGCAGGAAAGAAAAGCAGAGCGGCTTGAATCCTGTCATGTGGCTCACGAGCACACATCAGAGCAGGGGAAGCCGCGTGGGGGAATACTTTACACATTAAACGCAGAGAAGTGCCAGAAGGGCAAAATAAAACGCAAAACCATGAGAAACCAGAGGCGCAAATTAAAAGCAGCTCTGAGCTGGATCCCATGCAGGCTGAAGGTGATTTCTCTGTGGCGAGCATTCAAGACGTCTCAGTTTTGGATCGTTGTCATAAATCAACAAATCAAATCCGCACCGGTATCTGCGGCAAACAGTTTAGGGCAACGCATGGCCCACGCCACACGGCACAGCGAGGACATTATGCCTATAACGAGACGGGAACACACACATGAAACTGCAGCCAAATGCTGCTAACAAACTCTGCTTTACATCTCTGGAGGTTGGGCTTTTTTTTTTCTTGTTTTGCTTTCACATTTTTGTCTCTCATTAACTGTGTCTGTAAGCCAGAGTCTGTACATCCACAGCACATACAGCTGATGAATTCTATGTCCAAGGCATGGACAGGGAAAGGGACTGATTACACCAGGGACACCAACCTGGCTGGCGCTATGGGGGTGTTTAGGGGTGCACTGCACCCCCAGACGGACCTCAGTGCACCCCCGGTTGTCTCCTTATATCCCAAAGTCCACATAGTATTTTTGTGCACCCCCATGGATTGCGATTGCACCCCTCTGTATTTTCTCCTAGCAGCAAGCTTGACCCTGGACGACAAACGGTGAGGGGAGGGGAGAACCAACAGGTCAAACACCTGAGTAACCTGCACAGATTTACCAAATCACTCCATGAGTAAAATGGAAGGAGTTTCATCCACCATTCATACGCAGAGTGCACTTATAACATTTCAAAAGGGAATTTCCCTTTAAATCAATGCCACTCCATCTACCCTGGATAAATGGCCTTTTCTACAATATGATATCCTTCTAAAGACTCTAACAGTCTTTCACTGAATGGAAATGGGCCAAGGTTATTCATTATTTAAGGAACACGTACACCCCATCTGTACCTTCTCCCCATCACCTTCTCATTCTCTGTTCTCTGTAAAATCAATTCTTTACCTTTTCTACCAGTGGCAAACAAATCTTGCTTGCCTGTTTCACCCAATGTCCATTTTGCAAGAAGACGACACTTCTTGGAAACTTCTTTTGTAGTTTTGGAAGTCTTCTTTCAAATTAGAATCAGAAACAATTACTACTGGTCTGACAAAACTACTCAGGGAAGCAACAAATATGTACCACAGTTGCAGAGCAGTACTGTAGATGCATGTCATTGAAATTACAGTGAAGGCTGATTAGCAAACCTCTACCCTACCACCTGTCTCTTGTTAGATAAACGCTACATTGTTTGGACTCAGCTGTGTGGGAAAGAGGTGTTCCGTGTTCCGTGTTCCTGTACAGCTGCTATGTGGCTCTCTATCAGGAAAGACTCACTGTGGCCAGTGTTCAGAGGGGAAGAGATTTATATGGCATTATCAAGCCGTAGTCAGGAAGCTGCTGGAATCGGGCTCAGCTATTGTTCTTTGCTTTTGCAAGGGAAATGGGTGAAGTGCCTCTTCTGTGTAAAGAGATATTTAAAACCCTTTACAAACCCAAAACACAGATATATTTTGCAACCACATCTTTCAGGGGACTTGTAAGTCAATACTTGTATTAGCACTCCACATTGTAGCAATTAGAGTGTTTTCCTTTCTTCTTTTCTTTAGAAGGCCTTTCTCTGCTGTGTCAGAGGGACCATTGAAGTTTAAAACAATGCTCAGCCTGAGAAAGACTGCGGAGAATTCATCATCTTCCTTTTGTCAAAACCACATTTGATTTGAAAACCTCAACGCCGCCATGTGCTCTGGAAAAGCCAAAAAAAGAAATAAAGTAAAAATAAACGTAATAGCTGATCGATGTACAGAGTTTAATTCCTCTTGAGAAACAATAACATCCACTTCAGACTCAGTGGGATGCTTTTAAATGTCTCTGCGTCAGTGTTTTAACGGTGCATTCACTTCAAGAGGCTGGGAAATCATTTCAACTAATTATCACTTCCTTTCTTTAAATATACTCGCACGCCAGCACAAGATGCGCTGGTTTATTCACTGAAACACAGAGGTGTGACAAACGGCTCTTGGCTTCCTTACAGTGATACTGCACTGCAAATGCAAGGAGAGTAGGACACATCTTTGAACAAACAAGAAGACCTCACCAACTGTTACACTATCCTATACTGTCATTACTCTCATGCACAACGTGAGACTGCAGGACAAAACCAAAGTATCACCGATGCTCTCATTACAAGGCTCCTCCCTTCCCATTCCCCACTGAACTTATAATTTCCAGTTTTCATTGTCCTACTTACAGGATTACATAAGATTTAATAGGTTACACAAGGGTGTCATGATTCACCAAAACACACTCTTTGCTGAGTGATCCACTCTCAGACTAACCCTCCTCTCCTCAAAGGACCTCACCGGGTAATTCCACACCACTGCAAATGTGGCACTGGTGTCATGAGGCACTTTCGTGAAGGTATTTATTAACCCCCCACCGGAGAGAGGGCACCCAACAGGGGCGGCCCTTTACTACTTCCTTCCACATTCTGCCCCTGAAGCATGCTGCGGACCCCTCCCACCCCTACCGTGACCTTTGCCCTTTGCCCTTTATAAAGGTCAGCAGCCATAAGGTGAAGGGGGACAGGCACTGGTAAACAAACCGCATGAAACTCAGAGGGGAGGGACTTTAGGTGCGGCAGGTGCCAGTCCCTTTTGCACCCCTAAGGGCGGAGGTGGCAGGCTTTATCTGTTTCTCTTCCATCAGCTGGAAACGAAGGGGATGAATACAGAAGCGCTTATGGGTTTAGTGCTCAGTTTGAGCCACCAACATGTTGCACAGAAGCAGGGGAGTATGGGAGGCAGATTCCTGGTGACCTTCCTCATAGAGACCTAAGCCGTGTACCAACCACTACCTCCAGCACTGACCCCTAATAACCCCTGAAATGGTCAAGATCATGCTCACCCTTTACCTGGGATTGCTAGGGGTCAGCACTGTAGGCAGATTTCAGGTGCCCTTCCTCTTGTTAAAAGCTGAGCCTTTTACCAACCGCTTCCTCCAGCACTGACCCCTAATAACCCCAGTAAAGGATGAGCACGAATCTGACCATTAAACCAAAACTGACACTAATGAGACCTGCAACAGTGAATGTTCAGAATGACATGGCCTAAGGCTGTTAAAATTGTAATTACAGGGCTATTGGATTATTAGCAGGCGAAACTGACTTTGTATGTTAGAGAATGCCCACCCCGTGTCCCCAGACCTCGTGGCACCTATTCTCCTGCCACACCTGTCCTGGCTACACCATGATGCCCCCCCCCCCCCTCCCCACCTCTTCCTGGAGCTGATTTCACCAGGGTGGCATCACCCTGCCGGTGGGGGTCTATACTTAGCCAC